CATATACCAAAATCTATTAATCCATTCACGTATCGGCGAGCACTTTGGTGGTTTCCAGCGTTTTGGTTGTCTTTGCAATTGTGAATTGTGCTGCTATAAACATCCAAGTGCAGGCGTCCTGTTATTAGAAAACAAATTTTTCTGCCTTAGGGCATACACCCACCAAACCATTTCAATACTGGATCAGATGATACATCTACTTTAAGTTCTTTGAGATATCTCCATACAACTTTCCATAGAGATTGTACTGGAGCGCAAGCAAATCAGCATGAAACAACGAAACAACTCCCTTAAAAAGTGGGCAGAAGATAAGAACAGAAACTTTTCAAATGAAGATATACTAATGGCCAAAACACTCTTGAAAAATGCTCAACGTCTTTAATCATTAGGAAAATTCAAATCAAAAGCACGTTGAGATCTCACCTAACTTCAAGGAGAAGGGCTGAGATTATAAAGTCCCCAAGCAACAGATGCGGCATGGACGCAGAGATAAAGGAACTCTTACACGCTGTTGGTGGGACTGCAAACACAGACACCCTCTGGGGAAGAGTTTTACTAGTCTAAAGCCACAAATGTTTTTAAAACTTATCTTCACAGAGGTTCCCTCAAGTGTAGTTTCTCAGTGTGTGTATTGTTGTTACTAATAGCTATTACTTACCTGTAAGTTCTCAGTGTTTTTAATGCCCACAGGTTGATGCTGATCTGATAGGAGAGCAGGAGGGAGAATAAAGGAATCATCTCAGTAAGAAAATAAGGCTGATCAGAACAGCAAAGCGATTGCTTTATCATTCATCAGTGATAGCTATAGACACTAAGCCCACGTTCTTTACTCTGTGGGCTTGAGGGAGGGTGGGGGTTTGGGACCAGAGAGCTTAGATTCTCAGAGTGAGCATTTGCTGAGTTTTATGTGAATATGGATCTATGCGGTTAGGTAGAAAAAATGGATTTTATTAGTACAGCACACTAATACTCTTTTTACAAGTAATTCTTCTTTGGAGTACTCTGGATTTTCCCTTTCTTTCTGCAGCCTGAGAAAATATTGACTATACTTAAAAAGAAACGTCAACATTTTCCACAGTAGTTAATGTTTATATTAGGTGCTTGTTAATGATTATAGGATTGTTTTTCATTTTAAAACAATGATTAGACATTTCTAAAAACTATCCACTTAGGTTTTGACTTTCAAGATACAATTTTTTGATGACTACCACTTATTAAATAATCCCCTATATTTCTTTTACTACAAGCCATAGCATTTCTGCCGATATTGCTCTAAAATCTTCTTAATAGGAAAATAACAAAATGACCACATACAACAGTCACTCCCTTTCAGTGTTGGGCTCCTAAAATGGCTTTTTCTTTCTGTAATAAGCTGTTGGTGCTCACTTTATTTTGCTCCAGTCATTTTAATTTTGTCATCTTTGGTGCTATCTTGGTGTACTATAATAAAACAATGCTAAATGGAAGAAGCCGTAATTTTTATTATGAGCCTGTCTCAAGGCAAATTTATAAGCTGAACTTGATATCAGAAACTACTAGAGGGAGCATGCCTTTGTTCTAAATTAGAAACTGCTCTTCTATTCTAAACCTGGAGTGTGCTGAAAAGAAGCTGTCTTCTTCGTAGCCTCAGGAACTTTACAAAGGCAATATATTAAGATATTCCTTTAAAACTGTATTGTGTACAAAATGATTCCACCAACTAAACTGTTTATGTTACAACTCTACGTATTCCGGTTGTAAAACAATATTTAAGGTAAAGCTGTATCATGGAAGCCTGATTATACTAAAGATTTGATTTCAATTTTACTTTCATTGAAGGTTGTGAGAGGGCACTAATTTATTTATTTAACAGCATTTAAAACTGATGTGGCTATTTGGGCAAAACAGTTGTTTATTTAAATGTAGGCATGAAAATCACTTCATCTTAGGCAGCGCCTGTGGCTCAAAGGAGTAGGGCGCCAGCCCCATATGCCAGAGGTGGCGGGTTCAAATCCAGCCCCGGCTAAAAACTGCAAAAAAAAAGAAAATCATTTCATCTTAGACTGTGATCTCGCTTCCACCTAAATGAAACCTTCTAAATGATAGTTATAACTGAGATGATTGCCAAAACTGCCAAGTAGCAAATGACCAGTCTTGTGCTGCGAGGGTTTCTAAGGAATTCTAAAATGGGCCTCTTCCATCCAGAGAACTTCAGGTTCTATATGATGCTATGGACAACTACACAGACTTGACTCTTATATTTATAGAAACTGAATGAATGAGGATTGCTTTTATAACCCATGTAGATATGTTTCATGTCCTCTTCCTATATTACCACTTCAGAGTATCCTCCACTAAGCAGGGGGAAATATGTTTAAAACGCTGATGTTTACAATACAGTTTTACTGCTACTACTGGAAACAGCAGTAAAGTGACATAATTACTGTGTGTCCCAGAAGTAAATGCCCTGTCACTCTGGTATTAATTTGCACCCGAGCTATACCTAGCTCATTTTTATTCCTGCCTTTGCCCTCAATTATTCATTTATACTACCACTTTGGTTTATCTTTTACAAATGGCAGACTTAGTTCAATAGTTGTAAAATATTCCAGCAAATTCTTTTCTCCAAATACTACTTTTTAAATGCATCATTTTGTTCAGCAGATGTATAGAGCAAAACAGAATTATCCTGGTAGTTTCCATGGAGTAAATAATATAAATAAATCAACAGCACAAAGCTCAAAAAACTAAAGCTTAAATTTTGCTGCAAGTTACCACTAGAAATTGGCACAAATACTTCTCTAACAAACATGGCCCATAATTTATTGTTTGCAACATAATTTTGCATATGATGGAGACTGGTAAACTGCAAGAATATTCCAAGTACCTTTGCCCAATGCTAGTGTTGGTTGCAAAGATCCTCAGGGAATCATTAGCAGCCTCCATCTAGAAACAGACTAAAAGGTCAGGGGTATATGTTATGTGAGATTCATGGCTCATGGTTATAGAGTGCTGTGAGCATTCATTCTTGTTCAAAATATGGTACAGTATTGCAAAGCATCTGCTCCCATTTGCAGAAGTTACTGTAGTTAAGTTATAAGTGTTCCAGCATCTGATTTAGAACAATATGCTAAATAGACAGTATTTTTTCTTAAATATCCATCGTCAGGATGGGCACCTACACAAATTCAACAAGTGCCAGTGGAATAATAATTGGTTCTTTAAGATAGACAGTATAGAATGACTCAGAAAATCAAATTTCAGGAAATCCACCACAAATTTAGTTATGGATAACCTCGAACAAACAGATACCATCTGTAACTCAAAAATTGATTTGAAAATGTTGAGTATTCGTTTGAAAAAGGGAAAGCTGAAAACATGTCCAGCTTTCCAGAAGTATGGAATTTATTCTACTTAAGTACAAATTGGTTCAGTCAGATCCCTCTCTCACACACACACACACACACATATATACACACACACACTCCAACTAGAGCAAATATAGAAAAAGAAATATAGAAAAAAGAGTCAGCTTCTTTCAGTGGAAACATTATGGCCTTTGAGGCAGACAAATCCACATTTAAACCCTCGCTCTACCACTCACTTACTTTGCCACATTGATCACGTCAATTACACTCTCAACCTAAGTTTTCACATCTATAAAATGGATCAAATAACTCTAAATGTGAAGCATTTCTATGGTCATTAGTACACGTCAATTGCCCGGCATGTATGTAATAGCTACTTGAAAAATAATTACTTTCAGAAATACTAATATTTAAGCATACATTAGACCTTAAGCATGTCATTTATGTAAATTATAGTTACTTTATAAAAATATTTACGCCTTGCCATCCAAAGAAATATAGGTGTAATGCTTAGAACATGTTGAATATGGCTTTGAATTACTAAATTATTATGAGATTATCTAGCTACCTAATTTAATTTGCCTTTGCTTTGATGAGATTGCAAGACTTTTTTTTCCTAATCAAGGTTTACCAAAAACAAACGGACAGAAAAACCTTTGCATGATCACTAGAAGTTTTCACCTTTCCTTCAATTATAATATTGTCTTCTCATAATTGATATAAGTCCCATATAACCTAATAGCAGTTGTTCTTATGTGTTAAATCACTGTATTAAGAAACAGCAAAATACAAAAGTAATTTGATTTCAGTCTCCACATATATTGCGCTTTTCTTTCTTTAACTTCATCTCCATTTGAAAATATTCATTGGTCTCTTATGTCTCTCTTCTCTCCCAATCATCAAGGTCTCTCCAGGACCTTTCCAAGCAAACAGACATCCCTTATGGCACAGTCCTGGACTCCGCAGTCTATGAACATGTTCGCATGAAGGGATTGAACCCTTTTGAGAGGGACAGCATGTATTCCCAGATGTGGAGGATGATCAACCGGAGCAATGGATCCGAAAACAACGTGCTGGAGTCCCAGGCAGGCATTCAAAAGGTACTGGCCGTGGTTCTTCCTGAGTAGCCCTTACCGTTTTGTCTCCCACGTTGGAATTGCTAAGTTGAAATTTGTTTATTTCTTTTCTTCCTTAACACTGACACAGAGTTTTTAGTTAAATCACATGACCTATTGATTTAAAAGAGTTTTACGATGACTCATTGCATCAATAGAGAGAATTCAGAGTCCCCTGTGGGATGTCTAACAGATCAATTTCCAGGGGAAGGCCAAAATAAACACACGCTGCTATTTTGTTCAGAAAAGGGTTGAGGACTTACAAATACTAAGACTAAAAGGGTTTTGACAAATCTTACTCCAAATATCAAGGATATCTGATTCTTATAAATGACTTGGGGTCTTTTCTATACTTGTTTTTAGATTAAAGCTTTCTGTTTAGTGGTGACTGTATGACGCTATCGGGAAGTAAAAGTTAATATTGTCAACAAACAATGCTCCTGCAAATACCTGCTTCGGTTTCTAAATTTGAAAATCTTTATTTACATCATATTTTTTTATAATCATCTTTTGAAGGAATTATACAAAAAAGGATTAGAAAGACTTTCTTCCTTTATGTAAAAAACTTAAAGCTATTTTTTATTCTGAGCTATATATATATACAGAAGCAATGTAGGCATTATCAACTTTTGTGAGAGAACTACTTTTTTTTTTTTTTTGCTTAAAATTATCTCTAGTGATTAGCCTAGAGAAAAATCACTATTTGAGGCATTCAATAAATAATGGTGGAGTGAATGAATGACTGTCAGTGGCAACAATAATGGTGACATACACTTTTTTCTCTCTGGCCCTCCACAGCAGAGTAATTGGGACCGTAAGTCTGAGTTTCCTATTCAAAAGGCATAAAATACCATACCCGAGAATGTTCGGATGACTATAAAAATTATTCTCCCATATGTTCCAGCATTATTCTCGGCTTTGTCACATGATTCCCTTTATCTGCTTCTGCTGTTACGGTGACCCCTAGAGTCAGCCAAGTAATTCCTGCAGTTAGCATGTTGATACTGTATTTTGAGAGCTATTAATGCTGACATAAACCTTTTTGCCAAGCACTAATGATGACTTTAAGGAAGTGAGTATCTTTGAGATGTTAACAATGGCTTCTAACTTCTTTGCCCTCATTACATTACTCTCTACTTTCCAGAGCCTAGGTATTGATCTGAAAATGTTCTGTCTTGGTTTTCTCAAGAGAACAGCTGGCTCCTGGAAGTTCAACATGGTGTTTCCCAGTTAGTGGAGTAAAGGGGAGGCGGGGGGTGGATCCAGTGAGTGAATGAGCATGGTTATTGGGGGTAAGAAAACAGGGGGGCATTTTCTGGTTTACTGGGAACCTATAAAATAAGGATGAATTTAAGCTCAGAGTAATGATTCTTGAAAGAGTTTTTTTTTCTTTTACATCATCACTGTTAAAGAGAAATTTGCTTTCTTAATGATTAATATAAATAGGGACTCATAGTTTCTATACCTGTTCCATTTTAGGAGCCAAATCTCCTCATGCCTTATAACCTCTTTCTACACTGTATTATTAAAGATAAATTTCATTTTCTTTTTCCCCAATGGACATACATATTCCCAATAAAATATTTTAAACAAACCAACACACACACATATTCATTTGTTCATTAATTTATTTACTCATTAAATATTTGACAAGTATCAGTAGACACCAAACACTGATCTAGAAACTGGAGATAAACCCAACCACAGAGAAATGGTCACTAGCTTCATAAAACATACAGTCTGGTATGGAAGACAGAAAAGGGAAATAAAACATATGAAACAAAATTATTTAAATCATGGCAAATGCTATGAAATAAAAAATAGGATGCTGTATAGAGATTAAAGAGAGAATCTACTTGAAATAGAGGGATCAGGTAAGGTTTCTTGAGAAGATAAAGCATTGGCCGTGATCTGCCTGATGTAGGAGCTGGCCATGAAGAAGATAGCGTGGAAGGAAGACAACGTGGGAGGGCATCGAGGCAAGCCACAGCATAGGCACATCGTTCATTAAGAAAATCAATGTGACTGGTCCAAAAGAATTAAAAGCAGGGTCTTTTTAAAAGAGATATCCGTATACTTCTGTTCAGAGTAGCACTGGTTTTAATAGTGAAGAGCCTGGCAGCAAGGCACGTGTCTATTCACAATGAATGAATAAACAAAATGTGGCATACACATAAGAATGGGAAAGTATTCAGCTTTAAACAGAAGAAAACTCTGACACTGCTACAACACAGATACACTTTAAGGACATCACGCTAAGTGAAATAAACCAGTGAGATAAAGATAAATACTGAATAGTTCCACTTAGATAAGGTATCTAGAGTAGTCAAATTCATAAATACAGAAAGTAGAATAGTGGTTGGCAGGAACTGAGGGGAGTTGTAAATAGGGGGTTGTTGTTGAATGTGGATAGGGTTTTAGTTTTGCAAGATGAACAAGGCGTATGATGAGGAAGATGGTCGCACGACAGCGTGAACGGGTTTAACACTGCTGAAATGTACACTTAAGAATGGTTAGGATGGTAAATTCTGTGTTTCGTATAATTTAGCACATATTTAGTACATATTTTTTAGTAAAAAAATCAATATGGCTGCAGTAGATGGAATGAGACAATCCGGAATGAGGCCAGTAGGCAGGTATCCAATCATGGAGGACCTTGTTTGCCTCAGTAAGGAACTGAATTTTATTTGGACTGCAGAAAGCACTATGGCAATAGGAGCATGTCATGTTCGTTTTACTTTTCAGGAAGGTTACTACAGAGCTGCAGGATGGGGAATGGCTGAGGGTACAGAAAGAGACTCTTGTAACTTTCTAAGGTGGACTTAAACAAGGTTATATTTCATTCCTCTGTTTTTACACACAGACACAAAAACACACCATATCACATACATTATTTCTGTTAATACAAACTGGTAAGCATTCTACATTTTGATTTTCCAGAAGAATACATAAATCATTAAGCTATAGAATATCATTTCCCACAGAGAAGCTATAAGTAGTTACCTATGTGCCAAAAAATACATATATATCTTCTAGGTATTGTTGGTTAAGAAAATCTCTTCTTTTCCTAGTATGGGGGATATAGTCTCCTCTATTTTCTGGGTGTTTTAATTTTTTTAACTTTTTCCCTTTATGTCTTTTAACCATGTGGAATTTAACGTACCACTTGTATATGTGCAGAAACTAATTTTACATATTGAGAAAATTCCAATCCAAGAATCTACAAAATAAAGGTGTTTTCGACTAGACAAGCTGTTGATAACTCAGCAGTCTATGCTGAGCAACTTGGTGAACGATGTGCTGCTGCTGCTTCTCTATGTACTGTTCTATCACTTGGGAATGGGAGTGACTGTTTCTTATGCTGCTGTCAAATTCATTCCTTTTTAAAAAGTCAGTTATGAAGAGTGGAAAAACTCTGGGGCTAAAGAGATAAACCCTCTGATTGTCAGTCCTGGTCCTTCCATTTCTTCATGGCACAGCTTTGGGCAAATCACTTGGCCTCTCAATGTCTGACTTGGCTTTGTAAGCATGTCAGCCAGAGTTGGAATCTGACTCTTTTTTTATATAATGTTGATAAAAATGACTAGTTACTTTAAATTTCTTGGACTTGGGAATATCATCATGAGGATAAGACTTCTTACCTCACATGGTTTCTGTCAAAATTAAATGAGACAATAGATGTAAAGCATCAATCAATAGTACTATGAGAGCCATAAACCTCTCTCGTAAGATGGTCCCAGAGATTACGGAGAAAACACATGTGTGATGGAGTTGTAACTAAAAAGCTTTATTGTTCAGTAGTTCCTAACATTAACTTAAAATTGTGACATCATAACAAAGAAAATGTAATAAAACAAGTAGAGAACTATCGTTATTGCCTGACAGTCTGCTGATAAGGAGAAATAATGAATTTAAAACTGAAAATCAAGTCCTCCAACGTTTATTACACCATATTTATTTTGTTTTCTTATTTACTAGAATGGTAGTGAAGACTGCCCTATGAATTCATAATAGAAATATCTAAGTGAAATTTGTTGGTAGTGTAAATTTCTCTCAACCTAGATAGAGATAGCTGAAAATTGATTAGACAAAGAATAAGTCGTAATAATAAAATGTGTTTTGGTTCAGTTTGCAAGGTCTTGTCCAGCTTCTATTAAAAAACAAAACAAACCAACAAAAACCAATAACCTTCTCACCTCCTACAGCTCACTGGAGGCTCATGAAATTGAGAACTATAACACACGAAATGTGGTTACAGATTTTTCTTCGAGCAACTAGTCCTGCACATTTCACACAGCAGTTTCCTATTCTCTGTCATTGATTTCTAAAGACCTCAGAGGTCGTCTAGGTCAACATTCTGCAAAAAGCCAAATTTCTTCTGCATTATCTTCAACGGGAATCCATCTATACCTAGTAACAGCCTTCCAGGCAAGCCCACATCACTATGAAAAACAATCCTCATGATCTCTACCTTTAAATAGATCCCATCAAGATCAGGCAGGGCTTGTTCTTAATTGTACTCCTAGTCTCCTTAAGTATCTCTTACTTGGAGGTAGATCCTGATCCCATCCACCGTCTTCATTCTCCTTGTATCGAAGAAATCTATCTTTTCAAAATGATCATTAAGTAGATGAGTTCTGATTTGCTAGTCACCTGTGTGAAATGATCTTAATTACACTAGAACAAATTTTGTTTGTGCCTTGCTCTGCCTAGGACCTTCGCTTAAGTAAGAAAAAGTATGATCTGAAATGTACCTGATTTTTTTATACATTCATTTAACAATTATTTATTGAACACTTTCTCTATATCCCATCAGACATTAGTCACTGGAGAGAAGAGAAATAAAAACAAATATCTTCACGGAGTTTACATCCTAGTAGGGGTGGCAGACAATAACCACAATAAGTAAAATATATTGTATGTTTAGTCGTGAGGATTGCTAAGCAAGAAAAATAGAGTAGGGAAGGAGAATGGAAAATAGGGAG